TTAGCTTTGGCCCTTGTTATAGCTTCAAAAAAGCTAAGGCCATACTTACAATGCCATCCAATCTCTGTCGTCACCATATTACCTTTGAGGAACATACTGCACAAACCTGAATTATAGAGGAGGCTAGCCAAATGGGCAATAGATCTAAGTGAGCACGACATCATTTACCATCCTCGCACATCCATAAAGTCACAAGTACTCACCGATTTTGTCACAAACTTTAGTGCCAAGGTGATTCTCAAGGTCTAGAAGGAATCTACACAAGCTTCTAGACCAACACGGGACCTCTGGGTCTTGCACACCGACGACGCATCCAATGCATACATAGCCGGACTGGGGCTCGTGCTCGAAGCCCCCACTGGTGAAATAATCCTCCAATCTATATGGTCCCTAGACATGAATAACAATGAGTCAGATTATGCGGACGTAATTGCAAGACTGAGACTAACACTCGAATATGGGGCAAGGCGCCTAAGGCTACGCTGCGACTCCCAGATCGTTGTCAACCAAGTTACTAGGACTTTCCAGATTCAAAGAGCAGAGGTTTTAGAAATACCAATTTGAGTTCTTCAAACTGTTACAATTTGATGAATGTCAACTCGACCAAATTCCATAAACTCAGAACGTTGAGGAGGGCAACCTCACAAAATTGGTTGTCGCAACAACAATAACCCCTGGGGACAAAAATGTGGTACATCTCCTCAGCTCAGCTTTGGATCACATCGATGTATAAAAATATGTATGGTGGACCCTTTTCAAAATACTTGGGCCCAAACTAGATTCAACACATCCTCGAGAAAATCTACGAAAGCCATTGTGGAAGTCATTCCGGCGACCAAGCACTCGTTAGATGCCTCATATGGGAAAGATACTATTGGCCTACCATGAAGAAAGACGCTCTAGAATTTGTAAAGAAGTGCGAACAGTGACAGAATTATGCCTCAATAATCCATCAAGCGAGCGAACACCTCCATTCTGTCACATCACCATGGCTATTCATCAAATAGAGGATGGACATCATGGGACCACTCCCGCCTGTCACACCTCTTTTTTTCGAGGAATATTGAGTTTTTTCCAATTAAAGTGATATTATTCGAATTGGGATTATTTATTTTATTCAGAGTCGCCACTTGAAATAATTATTATGGTGTCTCAAGTTACCGATTTATTTTAAGATCCCAAATTAAGGAAATTGACTCTATTTATGGTCCGCGTACACAGAAGATCGGATAAAGAATTTTGTTAAATCAGGAGAAGGTGTGAGGCACTCCTGAGTTCCATAGTTTTAGCACGGTCGTTTAACAATTAATACTTGATCTAATTATCTAATTTATTACATATTTTAAAAAAACCTATTGTGCATTTTTTTTACTTTCGAAACCGCTTTTAGTTTTGTGAGGTTTATTTGAACAAGTCGCAATGTCATACACTCGCTGTTTTTGTACATATTGTAAATCATGTCACGTGAAACGTACCCATGATTGATAACATGTTGATTTTAATTACTTGAAGTTAGGGTCGAGTCATGTAAAACGCATACTCGAATTAGGGATTATGTATCATGACTATGTCATGGGAACCATACCCATGGTCATGATATTTATTATTAATGCACCTAAAGCAAGCTACGATGTTTTGTCACTACCCAGATTTTTCACCCTCGAGAGTCGTGATGGTGCTCAATAGTGAAAGCTAGGTAAGCCAATTAGTCCAATTATTTAACCATGTTCATCTTTAATCCCTTTGCAATTCCAAAATAACATAACAAAAGCAGCAGAAATAATAATAACAAAAACAGTGCGGAAGACGAAATTTGATAATTTAGATTTAATACAAACTGCAGAAGTCTAAGTACAACTCTACCCAGAATTTGGTGTCACAATGTCACGGGCCATCTATGAATACTACAAATAAAGTCTAAATAGAAATACACAAATCTTTCTCTAAATATGCAAAAATAGAAGGAAATGATAGAAAGAGACGCCAAGGCTTGCGGATGCCTACAGGACTACCTCGGGTCGCCTGAATGGATTGAAGGTAGCCACCTCATTACGGTCCAAAAACTGCAGCATCGGGATCTGCACACAGTATAGAGTGTAGTATCAGCACAACTGACCCCATATGCTGGTAAGTGCCTAGCCTAATCTCAATGAAGTAGTGACAAGGCTAGGACCAGACTACCAAATAAACTTGTGCAGTTAAATCATATACATCGGAAAATAAAGGCAAAATGTACAGTTATGGATAGGAGGGGGAAACATGCTGCGGGGAACATAAAATAATAACAGAAGAACATCAGATAAATATAAGGAACGCCAAATTTCAATTATCAACAAGAATCGGAAATAAAAGACAAGTGCACGACATCACCCTTCGTGCTTTTACTCTCGTCCTCACCATAAAAATCAATAAAATTGCACGGCATCATCCTTTGTGCTTTTACCTCACATAATCATGGCACGAAATGATCCTTCGTGCATTATCACTCATATCATGGCACAAAATTGTACATCGTGCAGTACGGCATCACCCTTCATGCTTTTACCTCACAATATCGGCACGACATCACCCTTCGTGCATTAATACTCTCAAAATCATACACGGTATCACCCTTCTTGCTTTACACACTTCCTCACCCAAGAAACAATCACAAAGCAATTTGGGCAAGTGAATTAATAATATTTCAATAAAATCCCGGCTAGGGAACAATAGCATAACAACATCCCGGAAAGGGAAACAATATCATGAATGATAGCGTCCCGGCAAGGGAGATAATATTATAAACCTCTTCTCTTTTCCACAATTTCCTCACAACTCATTTCTCAACTTGAGCCAACGCTCTACAATGATCAATTACCAACAATACTTTCACAAGTCTTGTTCAACAATAGAAAGCATCATATAAAGCATGAACAATACGAAACAGAACCACATTAATCATATTATAAGACTCACGGGCATGCTTGACACCAACGTATAGATACTCGTCACCATGCCTATATGTAGTACTCAACAATTAACACATAGCAAATAAGACATGACTCCTAATCCCTCAAGCTAAAGTTAGACCAAACACTTACCTCGATGCCATGAATACAATTACTCAAGCCTCAACTACCGCTTTACCTCTTGTTTCCACCACTAATTCGCTTGTATCTAGCCATAATTTACTTAATGATATCAATAAATGCTAAATGAATCAATTATAATGCATGAAAATAGGTTTTATAAAGATTTTTCCAAAAATTAAAAAATCTACCCCGGGCCCACATGGTCAAAACCCGAGGTTTGAACCAAAAACTGATTACCCATTCACCTAAATATATAATTTATTTTGAAATCGGACCTCAAATTGAGGTCCAAATCCCCAAAATTTGAAAAACCTAAGTTCTACCCAAAACACCTAATTTCCCCAATGAAAACCCTTGATTTTGGATTGAAATCATGTGAAAAGATGTTATAGATTAAAGAAAATGAGTTAGAAATGACTTACAATTGGTTTGGAGATGTACTTTTCTTTAGAAAATCGCCCAAAAGTGTTTAGGTTTTGAAAAAGTTTGAAAAATGCAGCAAAATGTGTCTAAGTCCCAATTAACTGGTCTCTGATGTCGCATTTGCAACCAGGGTTTGCAACTACAAACCCTTAAGAAACCTGCTATCTTCACAAATGCGAAGAAATTGTCGCATTTGCGACCACTCAAAAATCCTGAAGGCTTCACATTTGCGAGACATCTATCGCATTTGCGACTCAGGCCCTTCCGCATTTGTGATAAAATGGTCACATTTGCGATCAAGGCCTGCCCAGACCATCTTCGTAAATGCGATACTACTTTGCAAATGCAAGCTCACATTTACGAGTCAGTGCGAAGCCTTCAGACCTGCAACACACCAGCAATTTTCCTAAGTCTAAATTCACTCTGTGGCCTATCCAAAACTTATCTGAGCCCTCGGGGCTCCAAACCAAACATGCACCCTAACCTAAAAATATTATACGGACTTACTCGCGCAATCAAATCATCAAAATAACATCAACAGCTATGAGTTAAACCCAAAATTGATAAAATCATTCAATAACACCAAAATTTCCAATTTCTCAAGTTTAGGTCCATTTTATACCAAACCAATTCCGATCTTTACCAAATTTTATAGATTGAACCTAATTATTATTTCAAACTTGTACCGGGCTTTGGAACCGCAATATGGGCCCGATACCATCAAGTTCAAATATCTTTCATTTCGAAAAACTCTTATATGTTACAGAAAATAATTATCTTTAACAATTCATTTCTTGGGCTTGGGATCTCGGAAGTCGATTTCGGGCATATGCCCAAGTCCCAAATTTTACTACGGACTCTACGAGACCATCGGATCATGGGTCCGGGTCTGTTTTCTAAGAATGTTGAGCAAAGTCAACTTTATTCAATTTTAAAAGTAAATTTCCTTATTTCACTTAGTTGTCACACAAAAACTTTCTGGAAATGCGCCCGGATTGCGCACGCAAATCGGGTGAGACAAAAAGATGTTTTTAATGCCTCGGATCACATAATTTACTTTGAAAACGAGTGATGACCTTTCGGTTATCACATGTTTATAGAATTCATTATCTACCTAGTTTCAGATTCGATGTTATAGACGGAGATTGAGGCATGAATGTCGGAAGTGATATACATTTGTATCAAATAAGCCCAAAAATGTTTCAACTAGGTGATCCTTTTTGTAAGGTTTAACAATTATATCACTTGCAAGATAAAAAAAGCCCAAAATAGAATTCGAACTAAGACAAAAAAAAGCCCGTTGATTTCTTTTCACAACACACTAAGTTTTAGCTTTCAAGAATTCCAATAGGGACACAAGCCTTCAAAAAAATGAGCCCAACAATAGTATTTCATCTATGGTGCAACACTGACACTAATGTGGTATGCAACAAAATATAAAGTGTGAAATTAATCATGAATCGTACAGATTATTGGACTTAATTCGATTTGCAAAATAATTAATCATGAATCGTACAGATTATTGGACTTAATTCGATTTGCAAAATAATTAATCATGAATCATGTAAGTTATCAACTCAACTTGATTTACAAGATAATTAACAATGAATCATATAAATTATCGAACTCAACTTTAATTACAAGATTTTCTAGCAAATTCTAGATTAAGGCTACGACCATACTAGATTTCAAAATAGATACATGATCTGGGCTCCTGTGGCTTTCCAATCCCTCAACAAGTCTTGAGTTTACAAAGGCACCTACAAAACTGCTTTTCAAATCAGCATCTTGTCCATCACATGTCAAAACAATTGAAGCAACAAGTGAGGATCCAAATGATTTCGAAACTTTCTTTCTTTTATTTTAGGATTTCATATGTAAAAGGGGAATTGAGAGACTTTATAACAAATAACATCTATCTGTATGATGCTTCAATAATTAGAGACTTGCAAATAGCACAAGTATGGCAATTAAGCATTATAAATTCATGAAAAAGCTAAACTTAAATATGACATGAACATATCAAGTTTTACCCATAATAGCAAATGGAGAATGGTAAGTGGATATTTATATACCTAGCAGCAAAGAAACAGAAAGAAATGGCCAAATATGATCAAATTTCGAAAGCAAAACCAGCTTGATTGAATAGGAGTAATCAGTAGCAGTAATCAACAAAGAAACGAGCTCAACTTCAGCAGCTTCTAAAATCCAGAAAATGTTTCCTAACACCCTCCTTATGATCTCTTTCCTTGTTTTTTCTACTCTCTTTTTGTGTTTTTGTTTTTCTTGAAATTTAAATTCCTAGACCTATGAGTGAATAAGAATAAGAATGGATTTTTCAGAATCAGTTCTCTATTATAAAAATGCAGATTATGTAGATAAGAGAATGACTAAGACAGACGAGTGTGAGTGTATGTGTGTGTGTGTGTGTCTATATATATATATATATATATATTGAATGAATGAGAGCCCGTGAGAAAGGGAATCTAGCAGTGTGAAATCAGGGGGAATGAGAGAGGGGAGGAGAATATTTGTAACTGAAAATGCCAGTTGCCTTTCTATCGTTAATTCTTTTCCCTTATTCTCCTTTTCTTTTATTTAATTCTTTCCAAACCCGAGCCCTTCTTTCTTTTGCAAAAATGGACCTTTCTATTCCTTTCATAAACCAAATTGGGCCTGGGTTGGGTGCCCATGGTCAAATGGCCCATAACAAACCAGCCCAAACGAAATGAAAGAAATCGGAAGATCAAACAGATAAAAGACAAAAAGCAAGCAGTTATATTTTCACATTTCAAATTAAAGTGATTTTGATAATGCAACTAACCTAATCAAACAAAATAAACATTTTAATAATTAATCACAATTTAGAAATTTTATAGAAAAGGGAGAAGGTGAAATAAAGAAAACGAGGAAGGAATTACCTAAATAGGCCTCTATTTGGAATCCATCGGTCATACTGGGAATTGAACTTATTATCAATTGACTGCTCTTATAAAGACCAATCAACTGATGTTGATTTTGAATTCACAAGGCTAAGCTTAGAGAAAAAGTCAATGATAGGAGCTAAATAGGTTCTGATGAATCTAAGATCTAAAAATCGAGGAATTGTAGTTTTTTTAGGGAAATCTGTAAGTGGATTAGTGGTGAGGGGAGGTTGAATATTGTATGGTGAGAGTTTGGGTGTGTTTGAGGGTTGTGTCGTTGACAGGGGTGGCTTAGGAAAGGAAAGTTACTAGGGTTAGATATTTTGAGAGAGATGAGTGAAATGGAAGGGTGTTTTGGGTTTTGGGGATGGCTTTGGATAATTATAGCGATGAGGATGGGGAGTTCCTGGCCGTAGGACCATATTAAATGAACGACCATGATTAATCTTTACTAAAACAACATCGTTTGGGGCATTAAAAGGCAGGAGCGGATTGGATTTGTGGAGATTAGGCTGGGGCAGATGTCGGGCAGGTTTAGTTTTGAGAGGGATTGGCCCAATTAACAAGTGAGGACAAGAAACTTTATGTCCTATATACTTTCCTTTATTAATTTTCAAAACTAACACCTAATTAACACAAATTGAACCTATTTTTTTTTTTTTGAAAAATGACCTAGCTAAAAATTAAACTACTTTTGATTAATTAAAATTGAACCATGTAATTAACCATATGCAAAAAGAACTACACTAGTGTAATTTAATTCTTTTTATAATTTTCAATTATTAACTATGCAATCAATATGTGATTAAATCCTAAACGTGCAGTTAAAATCTAAAATGCAATAAGTGAAAGATAAAAAGTATTTTTTTTGATGATTTTTAGGATTTTAAAATATTTCTAGATATGCATGAATGTAACTAAATGCAAACAAATGCAATAGAAAAATAAATGGAAATTCCTAATGAGTCTAAAAAATCAAAAAGACACCGAGGAAAGGTTATTTTCGTGGAGTTTTAGGAGTAATTTAGGTAGGGAAAAAATTACGTGCTCACAGTTGTCCCTCTTTTCTCAAGAACATTAAGAGTTTTCGGGCAAAGATAAAGTGAGCCATCATGAGCAATTTTTGCCCGCTTGGTACTTCATGGGAAGCATTTTGAAAAAGTTTGAGCGAACCTTAGCTTCAAAGGTTGCCTACATATCCTTGACTATAAAGGAATCAAGTTAGTGTTGTTCTTGGAGTTTTGGTAGCTGTGACTACTAGGAAGATGTGATTTCACTATTGTTGGTGATTGCTGAACTCCTTATTACACCAAGAACAAAAATAAAAAGAAACTAACCAAGCCTATCAGCTAGGAGTTACAAGGTTCCTATCTATAAGTCTTCTAACGCTTGATCTTGAGTCTTGATTGGTTCTTCATGCAAACTCTGATATGAATCTTGATGCTTACTTGATGCAGGTGCTAGTTCAGCCTTCTATGGCTTCTTCTGATTAAAACATGAAATGCAATACTCGTGATATCAGTCATGTCTTAAGTAGTCCACATTCTTTCATCCACTTCTGCATTTTTGATTTACTTATTTTCTTTTTATTTCTTTATTTTGGATTGAGACTCCTTCTTTCGGTCATCTGGAACCCTGTGGCTTGAGGTAAAACTTGCTCAGACACCAAAAATAAACAAACGAATAAAAATTTTCTGCCCCAGTTTTTACTAGGAAAATTTCGTGAGTTATTTGTAACAAACTATATAATACTTTATTATTGAGAGCAATGAAAGGTCAGGATTGGTACACCTTGGGAAAACATGGTTTATTTGGAATGGTGTATCCTTCATTTAAGATCAACTGGACTAGGAGTGGAGATCCTATGTCTAACATAAACTCAATTAGGGGATGGATACCCTATATTGTAAAAGAGACTAGGGAGTGGAGATCCTATGTTGAAAAATGAGACTAGAGAGTGGAGACCCTATGTCTAAAATAACCTCAACTAGGGAGTAAAGATCCTATGTTGGAAAAGAGACAAGGGAGTGGAGACCCTATATCTGAAATAACATCAACTAGGGAGTGGAGACCCTATGTCTGAAAGAAAATCAACTAGGGGGTGGAGACTCTATGTTGGAAAAAAAAACTAGGGAGTGGAGACCCTATGTTGGAAAAGAGACTAGGGAGTGGAGACTCAATGTCTAAAATAAAATCAACTAGGGTGTGGAGACCCTATACTGGAAAAGGAAACTAGGTAGTAGAGACTCTATGTCTAAAATAACATCAACTAGGGAGTGGTGACCCTATGTTAGAAAAGAGACTAGGGAGTGGATACTTTATGTCTGAAAGAAAATCAACTAGGGAGTGGAGACCCAATGTTGGAAAAGAGACTAGGGAGTGGATACCCTATGTCTAAACTAAAATCAACTAGGGAGTGGAGAACCTATGTTGGAAAAGACAATAGGGAGTGGAGACCTATGTCTAAAATAAAATTAACTAGGGAGTGAAGACCCTATTTTGGAAAAGATACTAAGGAGTGGAGACCTTATGTCTGAAAGAAAATCAACTAGGGAGTGGAGACCCTACGTTGGAAAAGGAGACTAGGGAATGGAGACCCTATGTTTAAAAGAAAATAAACTAGGAGTGGAGACCCTATGTTGGAAAAGAGACTAGGAAGTGGAGACCGTATGTCTGAAATAAAATCAACTAGGGAGTGGAGACCCTACGTTGGAAAAGGAGACTAGGGAATGGAGACCCTATGTTTAAAAGAAAATAAACTAGGAGTGGAGACCCTATGTTGGAAAAGAGACTAGGAAGTGGAGACCGTATGTCTGAAATAAAATCAACTAGGGAGTGGAGACCCAATGTTGGAAAAGACACTAGGGAGTGGAGATCCTACGTCTAAAATAAAATCAATTAGGGAGTGGAGATCCTATGTTGGAAAACGCAACTAGGTATTGGAGACCCTATACTACCATGATTTTGAACTTTTTTCTCTTTTTTTTTAAAGATAATGAGTAAAATATTGGAAAGAATTTGGAGAAGACTTCGCTTTTCGGAGTTGTTGTTGCGGCAGAACTATTTTAGTCTCCGCGCGGTTTCTTTTGGGTTGCACCTTCTTTTTGAAAGGTTGCTTTGGATTGCAAGTGTTTCCTATTTTTTAAACAAAGAACATTTTGTCAATTTTAAATGGTGGTTGGTTTTGTGGCCTTGAGTGTTTCAGTCACTTGATCTCGGCCCATCTTCTTTTGATGATGACTTTAACTGCAATTGGTTATTTCCTGGATACCGATTGCATTTCTGGCCCCAAAAAACCTTTAGTTTTTCCAATATTTTACCATGACAGTTAGTTATGTGGGACTTAACTTTTTTCAACTTTGTTTTGCCTTTGTGGGCATTAGACTTTCTTTCTTTCAATTTTAACTTCAAAGCATTACGGAATCCCTGGCTTTTGAAACCTTGCCAAGATGGTTAGTCACGTGGTACTCCACCTTTTCAACTTCATTTTTCTCTTATAGGCACTTCAATTTGATTTTCGTTTTTCGAGAGATATCAATTTCGAAGCATCAACCACCATGGCCAGTCGGGGTTAACTTGAAGTCCATACCGAGGCTGAGTGCCCTTTTGTATATTAGCTTGTATCACATGAGAACCCTATAAATCAGTCTGACCACCCCTTCTTTGCTTTAGTTTCAGAAGAAAGTTAGACCGTAAGGAATTCAAAGAAAAAGAAATAATATAATAGACAATGAATTTAGACAAGAGGTATCCTTTTCGGGGAAAAGAAAGAAAGACTTATCTGGAGTACAAGCAAACTTCAATGAACATGACATGCCTTTTGAACTGGATACCTGATCTGTGTAAACTGTCCGACTCTCAGAAACTCATCACAACTTTTGCCTTAAAACCGAGAAACCTCACCCAAGATTGTGCGGATGCCTCTTTTCGATCAGTAGTGCCCTTTGTAGGTTTTCACCAGTTGATCTCTCTTATTTCTTTTCTCACCATCGTCTTATAATGCTCATTGTGAGTTTTTGCAAACAAGACTCTCTCATTTTAATTTATCTACTTACCATCGCCTTATTGTGCCTGTAAGGGTTTTCGCCGATAAAACTATCACATTTTATTTCTCTCATTTTGGTTGCATTAAATTCAAGTAATGGTATCCTTCGATTTTGAACATTCTTGTTGATTGATCGGAAGGGTTTGAAAAGGATTTGGGTAAAAAGCAATTGTATTGAATTAAAACTTTAGAGTCTTTCGGGCGAAACCATTGCTAAACGATTATAAAATCCTCCCCAGTTTCACCTTTTGGGGGAATGTGAATTTTTGTTTTGGCGTGACTGAATCCCAAAAAGAGGTTGCCTATGTATCCTTTCGGAATAAAGTCTAATGTAGTTTAATGAATTCTTTTTATTTTATTTTGTCTTTATTTTCTTTTGTTTCTTTTTCTTTTTATTTTTCATTTTATTTCATCATTGTTTTCTAATAATAACTTCCAGGTTCCAAAGAGGATAATCAAAGAAAAGGAACTGGCTCAAGGGTTTACAAAGGGTTGATAGTATTTGGGGTGGTGAGAAAGAAGGCCTTCCTCATCCCAAACAGAGTATATTAAAGCTATGAAAATGGTCAAACATAATACCTTTTGACCGCATCTGCATTGACAGTTGTCTTGGGGGTCATCTCTTTCAATGTCTCCCAAATACAACGCTTCCTTCGGCAACACTCTTCTTATAGTGTATGGACCTCTCCAGTTTGGAGAAAATTTTACTTTTGCTTCTTCATGATGCGGGAGAATACATCTCAGAATGAGTTTCCCTACTTTTAATTTTCTAGGTCGCACTTTCTTATTGTAGGCACGGGCCATTATTTATTGGTACAACTGCCCATGGCAGACTACAACCACCTGTTTTTCATCAATCATAGTCAATTGTTCTAACCGGGATTTGACCCATTTATCATCCTCAATCTCAACTTCAAGAATGATCCGAATAGAGGAAATCTCAACTTATGTAGGTATTACAACTTTAGTGCCATAAACTAATAAGTAGGGCGTGGCCCCAACTAACGTGCGCACGGTTGTACAATATCCCAATAGTGCAAAAGAAAACATTTCATGCCATTGTCTAGAACATTGAATTATTTTCTTGAGGATCTTCTTGATGTTCTTGTTTGCAGCTTCAACATTGCCATTATCTTTTGGCTGATAAGGGGTAGAATTGCGATGCGTAATTTTAAATTGTTCGCATACCTCCCTCATCAAGTGGCTGTTCAGATTTGCATCATTGTTGGTAATTATAGTTTTAGGAATACCAAAATGATAAATAATATTGGAATGCACAAATTCCACCATTGCTTTCTTGGTGAATGATGTCGCCCAAACTCAC